AACTCTGTATAGGCCCTTCTGGCTTTTAAAAGCTCCTTTGAGAACTCAGGTGTTATTCTTATAGGCCAGCCTTTATATGTTGCTTGGTCTTTTACTATTGAAGCCTTTAATACTCTATTTTGTTCTGTATATTTAGTGTTTTGATTAGTATATGGAATTTCTTTTCTGGTTCAGTATATTTGGTGTTCTGTATGCTTCTTGTACCTTGATACACATCTCTTTTAGTTTTCAGAAAATTTCTTCTATGATTTTGTTGAAATTATTTTCTGTGCCTTTGACTTGTGTTTCTTTTCCTTCCTTTATTCCTATTATTCATATATTTGGCCTTTTCATAGCGTCCCATATTTCCGGGATGTTTTATGCTTGGAGCTTTTTAGTTTAATTTTCTCTTTGAGTGATGTATCCATTTTTCTATCTTGTCTCCTATGCCTTTCTTTTTTCTTTCATCTCTGGCATAGTGTTTGTGACATTTTCCTTAGGTTTCTGTTCAAGTTCCTTGATTTTTCTTCTTCAGATTTCCCTCAGTTTGGGGTTTTCTTTATTAATTCTATTTCCCCCTTTATGTTTTCAATTGCTTTATTCATTCCCTTCCACTCTTTGTGTCTTCATTGATTTTTTTAATGTATTTACTCGTTTCCTCTTTAAGGACCTCTATCATATTCATAAAGGCTTTTTTAAGGTCCCTGTCTTGTGCTTCAGCTACATTCTAAGAGCCTACTGAAGTAGGGTTGCTGGGCTCTAGCAGGGAAATTTTGTCCTGGTTATTGATTGTGTTTTTACACTGGTGTGTAGGCTTCTGGGTTTGGGAGGATTGTATTTCTGGCAGTTTCTTTGTTTCAATTATATGTTTGGCGTTTTCTTTGTTGGATGGCTGTTTTATCCCTTGGTTTCTGTTGCCTTCTCTGGTTCTTAGAACAGTGTGGTGGTTATATGTTACCTGGTAGGGAATGTTTTCGGGATTCTGCTAGGTATGTCCACTGGGGATTCCAGGTAAGAAGTTTTGTCTGTGTATTGGGAGCTGATACATAGGAATGGTTACGGCCTAGAAGAGATCTCACCTCTGGCTTGTGTGGCTAGTAGGCTCTCAGGAAATGCCTGCTCAGTCTTGTGTATTTTAAGATCCATCAATTGCTGATATTTTATGGCTTCCATCTCATGCCAGGAGGAAAAGGAAGGGAAGATGGGCTGTTTCACAGTGGGGTTCTAGATTGTCCTCTAATGGGAAAAAAATACTCTCAATATTTTAACTCAGGAAACCTTAGCAGCTGTGAACCTGCATGTATTACAGTTCTCTGTGTACAGGGTTCATTAGCTGTGCCTCTGGCTCCCCATTTGTTTTTCTACCCATCTCTCCTCCCACCTCCACATTCTTTTTCCCTCTTCCTCTTCCAGAAGCTCTTCCCTCATTGCTTTGATCTGCAGTCCCTTCATCTGTTTCTTTCTCTACCTAAGCATTTTATCCAATGAGAACATTTAGCATCTTTTACAATATTGACCTTTGTAATCTTTGACCTGCTCTAGAATTCTTAGTCTCTGTGAGTCTCGTTGCTCTGCTTCTTCATTGCCTTCTTCTATGCCCTCATTGGTGCTTACTGGTGCTCTAAGGCTTGCCTCCTCTACACTACACTGCTTGGTCGCTCTTCATATTCATACACACATGGAGTGATGTGTATATAGTTGACAATCAGTAAACAACGTGTGAAGGAGAGATGCTCAGATCTAGTTGCTTTTAGCAATACCAAAGTTTAACTCCCTTAAATTTTCTACTGCTTAACGTTCTCATCACCACTAGTTATTTAGCCATCAGGAATTCCTATTTATTTGACTAAAATTATTTAGAAACTGTTACATTGGATACACTACTAACTTGATGTTTTCCTTTATTTCTAAATCTTATACACATTACATATTATATATATTATATATTAATATTTACATAATATGCAATATATTATAAGATTTAAAAATAGATAAATACAAATTATTTTTATAACATATTATATGATTATATATATTGTAATTTGTAAATCTTCACTGATCCTTAAAGATGAAACTTTTTCTCCCTTCACCAACTAGTTTTTTTATTCTAATAGCTGCTTCTTGCAAGTGTTTCTGGGTCTTTGCTCATATGATATCTCTTCTCTATTTATTTGCTTACTATTTATTGTTTATTCATCATTTATTTATTATTTAACAATGTTTCACTATGCAGTCCTTGCTGGCATTGACCTCATAATCTTCCAGCCAACCTTCCTAAGTGCTCAGATGGCGGGCAGGGGCCGCCTTCACCTTCCCCCTTTTATATCCACAACCTCTTCTCTGCGCAACCTTCTCAGAAGATGGACTGTATTCAATTATCTGTGGGTTAGTCCTTTTCCTTGCTCTATAAAATCATCTCAGAAACTGGGCGATTTCTTCAAGGAAATACATTATTTTTCATAGTGCTGGAGTCTGGAAGTCTGAAATTAAGGGGTGGTGATGGATGAAGGTCTTTCTACTGGACTTCTGTTGTGGCGTGCGTAGCATGGGAAGGCGGTGTGCACAGGAGCACAAGGCAAGGGAGCTGAGGTGGCTGCAATGGCCTCTCTCGCAGCCCACTGTCAGTGTAACCAATCTCCCCCAGGAAAATGGCCTCTCTCCCTTACATGCCCCAAACAGTATACTCTTCCACTGACTGCTACATTTCATTCATCATGTGTTTGATTGTCAATTGCTCTTGCATTCCTAAAAACTTCCAGTCTTTGATTGCAAATCTTATGTTGCTGCATTTTATTGGTCACCTAACGTAAGGAGGAGCTAAATTGGTTCTACTCCTCTCAGACCACTAATACCCTTGTTTCTTGCTGTGTGGATTCTGTCTCCTTTCCTGTGGAAATCCCTAAGTGTTGCCCGTTGATTACTTTTGGGAAGAATCCAGTGATCTTTCCCATCTAATGTGTCCTTCTCCTTGCCTATCGGACCTCCCCTGAATGAAGATTGACCTCATTTATCATTTAAACCCTTTGAGGCTTTACATGCTACTTTTGATTTTTATTTTTTCCTTATCGCCTGACCTGGCGTTTATGGGAAGCTCTGAACTATGCATTCAGCTTCTTAATTCTTGCATGTGCAATACCAAATAATTACATTTTATATACAGCAGAACTTCTGTGGATACTATCTAAATGAAAAGCAGTCATATCGTGATAGTCATTTATATCTCTTTAGTCCATTCGCCTCTGGTTCCACAATCTAGTGGATTAGAACAATAGCCTTTTAAAATAAGTTTACACATTGGTGTTCAGGAGCTTGGGCAGGGCTCAGTTGGGTTATTTTTCTGTGCTTGTGACACATGCTGAAGGTGCTCAGTGTGTTTCAGGTTTAGTCTCAGCAATGGTGGCTGGAAAGCTGGGTTTTATGCGTTCCAGCCCCCAAACCACTTGAGTGGTCTCTCTCCTGAGACAAACACGAGGTTCTACTTCTGACCCTATTCCTCCATTCCTCAGAGAATGTGTTCTGGATGGTAGGAAGTGGCTGTCATGCTGTAGGGCCTGGGTTGGTAATTAGAAGTTGTGACTCCTGTTGTGCGGCTCGCTGAGCAGTGCCGCAACAGGGCAGCCCATACTCACAGGCAGAGGACCCCATCCTGATGGGGGAAGGGGACAAGTTGGACTCTGTGGCCATGCTGACCAGCCACACCCATTAGCTCTACCCTTTCTCTCCTTTGTGCTCGTAATTGACAAAGCCTACAGCCACAGGTGATTTTTCTGAACAGACGCAGCAAATTTAAACCAACTCATTCAGCTCTCTGTTCTCTCTGCTTCTTCCTGTCTACACTGTTTTACTTTTCTTTTCAGCTTTCTTGGCATAACCTGCTTTCTGTACCAAGTACAGTGGATCACTCTAGAGCACACTTTTGCTGCCATCACTCCCCAGATGTCCTCCTGTGTCCTTCCTTTGCTGTGGAATGGCCTTCCAGAAACCCCTATGTCTTGAAACCCTCCTTATTCTTCAATATTAAATTCAAATCTGACCTCTCACTGAGGCTATCCTTGATCCTTCTAAATGGCAGCGACACCCTCCATTCACTTCCAAGGCACTCTTGCTTTTGTTAAAGTTAGATCTTGGGTTATTTGTACAAGTCTGCCTTATTGTAAAGTGTGTGTTTTTCATGGTCTTGAAAGTGCGTCAGCTTCTAGCCTCATCTTTTTATTCAACCTGGTAGTAGATAGACTTACATTCTGTTTGAAGCACACTTGGCCACAAATTTTGCAGATAGATCATCTTTAAATATATAATGTTATTAGAATTATTGACAAGAATTGTGAGCAATAATGCTAATCAGATTATTGGTAAAAGACAAAGGCTGTAGCCTTATTAAATAGGGTCTTATGGATGATAAAGTGAGATGAAGTTACAAGCCAACTCTATTTGCACAAACAGGCCAAGACAGACTTACAAGGAAAGCCCCAGCAATGATGACAGTGATTAATCACCATTACTTTAGAGGGGTGTGACCTAGGAGAGCTTAAGCTGGGATAGTCTCAGATGTAGTTCATTTACTCACACACACCTACACACACTCACACACCACACCAACATACACACAACCAATCTATATACGCACAATCTACACTATACAGAAACACAACCATATATACACTTGTGCGCGCGCGCGCGCACATACACACACACACACACACACACATCCACATATTCCCACGAACATATAAACCATACAAACACCAAACATACCATACAGATACACATCCACCACACACATCTCCCACCTCATACACAACATACCAATGCACACACATATTTGCAACACACATTTGCACTATACACACACATACACACATGCACACACACACCCATATAGCCCCATGCTGTTTCTGTTTTTTAACATCCCTTGTCTTCAACATTGCAAACTTAGAAGATTATGATAGGAGACTTTTACAAAATGCTGTTCATCAGGAATAAAGCTCTTGTTCACAGAATTCCTCTCTTGCATGTTGTAGGTACCTTTCACACATGAGGAGAAGGTGAGCTCCACAGAAGACACATTCCCAGAGTCAGAGGCCCCTTGCCCACCATGAAGGGAGCCTGCGTCCTTGCATGGCTGTTCTCAAGCCTGGGAGTGTGGAGACTTGCTCAGCCTGAGACCCCGGACCCTGCCCAGTGCCAGAGAGCAGAGCACCCCATCATCTCCTACAAAGGTAAGGAACGAGCGTGTACCGATGACAAGACCACAATGTAAACTCAAATCTCGTATTTAATGCAAGATGATAGAAGGATATTGCTGTTTGCTCTGTGGTTTCACCTGGGCAATTGTTTAGAACAAAGACAATGCCTCAGAGTGGAGGCATGATCCTCATGGAGGATCCCAGATGGGATTTCCCTGGATGGAAACTGTCATTTCCCATCTTCTCTTAACAGGTGCTTTAGGCCGCCCAGCCATTCAAGTCAGAAGCTGAAACCATGACATTAGCACTGCAGTAAACAGTAATAAGAGGAAAGAAACTAATCTTCTTTGGCAATTTTTGACAAAGCCAAGGTCTTGGCTTGACAAGCCCCTTCGTCCTGATGGAGCCTCACAATGCAGTGGGATCCATTATTGTCTGAAGTGTGTTCTCCATGTTGAAGGGCTTGTCAGTTGACAGTCTCACCTGCTCTTCTGTTCTTTACCAGAAGTTATGGAAGGTCTTCGCGACCTGGACACTTGAAAGATTCACAGTGGGGAAAACAGAACAAAACAAAACAAAAACAATGCCTCTGGCCTCAGCATGCCTCTATCATCAGCCCACATCATACGATTCATTTTCTTAACTCATTTCAATAGCTTTTCACTAGTTTTAAAACTTTGTATCACAAATTTCATGTAGAGATGTCAAATATGAACAATAATCTAAGCCCCACATTTAACAGTTTACATTCTATTTTTTTTTTCTCATTTAATTCCTACCCATGCTTTGTTCCTTACCTGTCAAGTGATTTTGATGCAAATTCAGGGTATCATATAATTTTATCTATATCAGTCTACAGCTATTAATGAAAAGAACTTTATGATATTATTTTTATACCAAACATGGAAAAGCTCCCAAGTGAAATTTTTCCTAAAACTATGAAGTACATAGTGTTGGGAAGATGAGAATTCTGTTGAGTCAAACAAGGATCTACCTGAAGTCCATACAGCACAGTTTTCTTGGAGAGATCTTAGATGTCTTTAAATGTTTTATGCCATTGTTTTTCCATCTCCCATGGGGGAAAATATATATATATATATATGTTAAGGAACTGGAATCACTCATTCAGTCTGATTTCTGCTCACTGCATCCTGACTGTGTCATTTGAATGTGTGTGTGTCCCTTTTTTCCCTGTAATTCTGAAGTGATGTGAATCTTGATGAGATTCACACTCAGATCTTTTTCACTTTTGTGGGCTGTCACTGTGAAGCAGTGTCCTGTGAGCAGATGGCAGTTATTTACAGACGCTGGCCAATGGCAGAAAATGGAGAGGTTCTAGGTTTATCATCTTTTCCTCTTCTAATAGAGACTTCCCCATAAACCAGCTGCCCTTGGCCTGCTCTCTGAATGGGACTGCTGCACAGCGGGAAGAGGAAGGCATGCTGAGGCTTCCCCTACAACCAAGGCTTTTGCTGTGGTTTTGTTTCAGTCTGGTAACCACAGTCCCTCAGAAGTTATGATTTCTCTTCTTTTCCTTACTGTACTGATTAGCTTCATATCAACACATGACTTTTATTATAACTGATAGATTTAATTCATTGCTACTTTTTTTTTTGACCTGAGGACATGAGAATGATGCCCTCTCAGCCCAGCATGTAGGGTTGTGTCCTGAGCACAGTGATAACTTCCAGTCTCTTGGATGAAAGATACTCTTATTCTCGGTCCTAGTTCCTCCCACCGCTCTGAGGTACACTAGCAGTTAAGGCTCTTTCGTGAATAGCACTAGGGAGAACATACATAAAAATAAACACTAAGAACTCCTGAGAAGTCCAGGTTGATTCTGGGTTCCAGGGCCTTGACTTCTGCCACCTTCCCCTCTATCTGTTTCTCCCACTGACAGAGTCTCTCTGCCTCTGCAGGGGAACACTCATTCCTTTTCCTTTTCCACAGTGTGTGACACACCTCTCCATCACTACAGTGTGTGTGACCTCTCCATCACTATAGTGTGTGACCTCTCCATCACTACAGTGTGTGTGACCTCTCATCACTACAGTGTGTGTGACACACCTCTCCATCACTACAGTGTGTGTGACCTCTCCATCACTACAGTGTGTGTGACACACCTCTCATCACTACAGTGTGTGTGACACACCTCTCCATCACTACAGTGTGTGACACACAGCACTCTGTTATTTCCAGAGTAGCAGCTCCATGCAACCTTACTTCCTGGGATTCATTAAAACCCTTGAAGACATTTTTGTTGTTGTTTTCCTTTGGTCTTTAGGATATGTCGTTCTTTGAGGGATTAAAACTCAATTTACAGCTTTAAAGTCCCGGAAAGCCATCCCAATTTGTACAGTTTTGCCAACACCTCATGCTCAGTTTATTCCCATTTCTATATTTCACTTTTGATTTTCAGAGGCTGAACGTTAAGTCGATGCAATGAGATTTGTTCATAGAAATCTATCTTTTCTATATGTTTTCTGCACTGGGTTGCCCCTCTAATTTACATAAAGCTTTCCTTATACTTCATTATTCTTCGTTCTTTCGTGCCTCACAGATGCACACCCCCATATACATTCAAACATAATCAAAGCTGGCAATCTGTCATCAAAAAGTGGCGTGTGTACAGGTTGACTGTCTGCAGTAAACTCTGGTGTCAGGATGCACACATTCACAGCAGGGTTCTTCTTTTGGTTCAGCTCTCTGCTATGTTGTGCTCTAATCCTGGCAACAACCCATCGCTGAGAATGCCTTGGAAGAGATTTCAAGGACTGGGAATTAGGTTAAAGGGTAAGACGCCTGGCTGTTTTGGCTGCAAGCATCAGAGTCTGTCTCATGAGGGTAGCGTTGCCTGAGGATTTGTTCACAGCAGCCTCACCAGCAGAGCGTGCTGTCAGGGTTTGGATCTGAGTCCACCTCACAGTTCATCAGCGACATTTCAGAGTATTATAAACTATATTTTCACCCAGTACTGGGCAAATACTCCATCACTGACTTACTCTACCACCTCTAAGTTGCCTACTTTTACTTTTGGATGAACATGTAACAAAGAGTTAATGAGTGCCTGCTATCAACATCTGTGCTAAAATTTGATCCCATAGAGGCCAAGTTCCAGTCTCTGAGAATGAAAGAATCTTCACACCATGCTCTGTTAGGTGTCTGTGTCATGTGCAGGGAGCCCAGGAGAGGAACATGGGAGTCAGATAGCCACAGCCCCAGATCCTTGTACAGAAGGTTTCTAGAAACTGCTCATGGGAGAGCTGAGCCCCAAATAGCTGCCAGCAGAGTTAGGAACCCCATGAAGGGGCAGACATTCCAGAGAAAGGAAATGAATAACACTAAGTGCTGAAGGGGGGGAAAGGTGTGCCACAGGTCCTGGAAAATACGCAATACCGTGTGAGTCATAGCACCCTTACTAGGTGAAAGGGTAGGAGGTTGAAGTGGCTCTCGTAGATAGTGAGGGCTTAGATATGCATGCTATGGCAAGATACCTGAAGATCAACCTCCTCTGGAGAAAAGGATGTGTTTTAGCCACCAAGCATAACCATTCTGGGGCTGCTGCTATGATCAAAGGCAGCAAGAATGAGAAACTGAGGTCTAGATGGTAACACACGTATAGGAAAGCAGAAATGGGGCTGTTCTAGATATTGGAGAGAGCTATGGTTGATGATAGAATGGATAGAGGACCCAAGAGCCTAGGAAACTCTGTTGATATCTAGGATATTTGATCTTCACTGCAAGTATGCTCAACAAGGGAGGCAGGTGTGAGGGATATAAAAAGTTTGAACTGTAAACCCTGCAGTCCTGTGAGCCCCGAAAAGAAGGATCTGGCTGAGAGCAGCACAATGCAGACCTCAGTGAGGGATCCTTTTAAAGACAGGGCTGCTCATGAACGTCTGATAATGCAGTGTTCAAGTTCAGTATGGGCCAAAAGGCAGATTAGTCATCCTGTCCTGCTTTGCTTGAGCCTCTTCTTCTAGTGTTGAAAGGTTTCCATTGGAAAAGCTGGCCAGCTGATCTCCTTTCCAGCACTTCTCAGTAGTGGTGTGTCTGGGTATTGCTTTCCTAGAGCTGTTGCAAAATTACTGCCAACTGGGTAATTTCTCGATGTCTTCTTTTGCCATGTGCTAGCCAGCAGTCCCCTGTGACCGTGTGAATGAGGCTGTGCTCTCTCTGGTAACTTCAGAAGACATGTTTCTCGCCTTCAGCAGAAGTCTGTAGCCTTCCTTGGTTTACAGTCATGCTGGCTAGTCTCCTAGGCTATGTACTTTCTACAATTTCCCTTTATATCTTTCTGTCTTCTGTTCTCACTCCATATCACTCTGTGTTAAGGCTAACCCAATTCCAGTATCACCTGGTCTCAAACACTACCTCTAGAGAAGCAATTTTCAAACGGTGGCACATCCACAGGTGTGTTTGGTTAAGACTCGGGGATATTTTTGTGTGGACTCCGAACAACCCATATCATGTTGCTTCACCAGGGTGTTGTGGGGGGGGGGGTAAAACACATTTCACGTAGAGATAGATGTGTAAATCTAAAGAGAGAAAAATATTAGTTGTGCAGGGGCAGGAAGACAGGAAATAGCTTTGAAAAGAGCATTACTGAATAATCCCTTACTGAAGATGGGGAAAAGCCAGGTGAAGGAAGGGTCTAAAGAAAGAAAAGAGAGGGGGAGAGAATGAGTGTGGCCATGGCATTGAGCTGTAGGAGTGGGTGAGCTCCTGGGAACAGGTGAGAGGTTAACTGATAGGAAGCAGATTCCACCGCCAGTGATCCTCAGAGAAGGGAGGGGACCAGGCACCCCGGATTCAGGGCAGAGTGTGGGATGAGGAGGGGTGGGAGTTCCTGGGGAGTAGACAGGTGATACCCAAGAGACTGGGGGCTCTCGGAAGGAAGTGAGGCTCTGAACAAAGGGTAGAACTGCTGCTAAAACACACAGAAGATTCCCTGTGGATGTTAGGAGTCCTCAGAATAGCTCACAGTGGAGCTGACAGTTGCTTACCACTCAATCACATGAATATTTTTTTTA